AGTGGACACTCCGAAAACCTTCGACACTATACCCCATTCTGCAATAAAACCGTGTCTGGCTAGAAAAGCCGTTCCAACTCCCATAATGGAATTAATAAGCGAAATGTACAATGGAAATAAGACAACTATTAAACCGAATAATAATAAAGGGATTGAGGTAGAAATTCTCAGAGGAGCTAAGCAGGGCGATCCTTTGTCGCCACTGCTTTTTAATCTATGTGTTGAGCCACTGCTTGAAACAATCGAGAAAAATACCGGTGACATCAATATCAATGAAGCAAACAATGTCTCGGTACTGGCCTTCGCAGATGATAACGTCTTGCTTGGGGAAGATGAAAGGGAGGCACAAAGCCAGATGGACGAGCTTCACAGTTACCTGGAGAGGCTTGGCATGAATATATCAGCCCATAAAAGTTAAACATTCCAGGCGATAACCAAGAAGGATACCTGGCTTATCAAAGACCCGGCAGTTAAAGTCGATAACGAAAGGATATCGGGTATAGATCCAGACCAAGCCTTCAGGTATTTGGGCGCTACGGTAGGGCCTTGGAACCGTTCATTGCGGCATTATAATGCCCGAGATTCTGAGCATGGTGAGGAGAGTAAGGAAGCTCTCCTTAAAGCCATGCCAGAAGATAGAACTGCTAAAAAAATATATATTCCCTCGATACATACATAATCTGCTAATAAATCCCCCGAGTGAAGGCGTTTTAAAACTTATGGATAAAGAGGTCAGGCAAGAAATAAAAGCTATACTGCATCTATTACCATCTATTGCCACCGGGACATTTGAACACATAGTGAAGCTCGGTACCCTTAGGAGCGCTTTAAAAATCAAACCCTCACTAGACCCAGTAGCGGCTAGTTTAATTGGAGACGATGAAGAGAAAAAATTAAAGAAAATTGCGAACTCCCTGAGAACAAATTGGGCAGCCAACTTGGAAGATGTGGAGAAGGCAAAGAGAAGATTAAAGGCAGAGCACATTAAGGAGTGGGCAGGATTAAAAAGTCAGGGCCAGGCTGTCGCTGACTTTGCGAAAAAGTGAGCAACGTGTGGCTTAGGGAGTACCATTTGCTAAAGCCATCCCGCTTCATCGATGCCTTGCGTTTGAGAACGAACACCTTTGGTGAACGTGCAGAAGGTGCCATGCCCAACCGGAAAGCTTCGCACATGTGCTAGGATTATGCCAGTTTACAAAGAGCCTACGCATTAAAAGGCACGATGAAGTAAAGGACTTACTGGCCAATAAATTAAGAGAACAAAATGAGGTGTTTGTCAAACCAACAGTAATAGTGAGGGGTAATCGTTACAAGCCGGACCTTGTAGTTAAAAACGAAGAACAACTTCTCGTAGTCGACGTTACCGTCCGCTATGAGAATAGAGATTACCCCCAAAAAGCAGTCAAAGAAAAGGTGGACAAGTACTCTTCTAAAAGAATTAAAGAAAAGATATAGCGTCGGTAATGGAGCCGTTCTGCCGACGGTGCTTGGCAGTAGAGGACCAATAACGCCGGAAACAGTTAATAATTTTAAAATGATGGGAATTCCCAATAAAGATATAAAAACGATAGTTTTGAATGTGTTGAGAAGCTCTGTGGACATGTGCAACTTATTTTTAGATGAATGAAAAATAATCTATTTATTTAATTATTTATTTACTTATTATGTATTTATTTATTGCTGTATGCATTGATGCAAATGGCAATTATATCGAAAAATAATTAACATATTTTATAGGTAATGAATTGAATTTTCATTTCCTTTCTATTTCATTTCAGTCAACCGAGTTCTGCCCGAGCAGTCGAGCTATACGGTCAGTGCTTCCGTAAGTACGACAAGTGGGAAAACAAAGTGACTTATAATAGAACCAATCGCTAAAGGATGGAAAACATGCAATAAATACCACCAATAAAAATTCTAAATAAAGGCGAAACATATTCAATAAACAGAGCTGTAGACAAAACAAACACAAATAAAACAACAAGCGAAGTTCGGGATTACTCAGCTATAAATGAAATAGAAATGGAAATTACACAAAATAATGACGAAAAGAGCAAAATCAACAACGATCTACCACAATAGAACCAACGCTGAAAGACTGTAACTCCCAGCAAAAAACGAAAAATAACTTCAAACACAAATGCTAGGAGGGCTATAGAAACAGAAAGGCAACAATGGCTACAGGAAATTCCTCGACAAAACTCCTTCAGCTCACTGCCAGAAGAGATGGATTCAGACCCAGCTGAAAAACCAATAACACACATTCCCAAACCACCATCAATCTACATAGATGCTAAAATAATAGACCCCCTCGTCGGTCTGCTAAAGAGCATGGCAAGAAAAGAAAATTACACCATTAAACAACTTAAATTAGATCAGGTAAAAGTACAAACTAATACCCCAGAAATCTTTAGGAAAGTAAGAAAAGTACTAAATGAAAAAAACGCTGGGTATCATACTTACCAACCCAAAATTGATAAAAGCTACAAAGCAGTAATCAGAGGTTTACACCCAAAGACAAACACAAGTAACATATGCGAGGAATTAGCCAAAATCGGGCATCCGGTACGAACAATAAATAATATAACCAGATTTGATACTAAACAACCATTACCGCTATTTATAATAGAGCTTGAACCTAAAAATAATAACAAGGGAATTTTCGAAATTAAAAAAGTTTTAAACACAATAATTACAGTCGAGCCACCCAGACAAAAAAAAGACATACCGCAATGTATGCGGTGTCAACAATATGGACATACAAGAAATTACTGCAACAGAAACCAGGAAAGCACCTAACAATGAACTGCCCACACACGGGAAAAATAAATGATGGAAAATGCTACAATTGCGGTGGAAACCAAACGTACAGCATGTAATGAACATCAACCATAATAATCACGACACCTTTGGTAGCCGAAGCTACGCGCAAGTATCCAAACAATCAATCCTTAGATAACCAAAACCAGAACAATAACATCAACGATGCTACAGAAATCAAAGAACTGTTAAAGCAATCCATAAAAAACATGGAAATGTTAACAAAAATGATAAGCGAACAAAATGCAGCCCTCAGACAGCAAACGCAACAAATAAAACTCATGCTGCAACGACTTACAAACATGCTAAGCAAAAAATAAGAATGGACACGCTTAAAATAGCAGCCTGGAACTCTAACGGGCTACAACAAAGGGCCCTAGAAACTAAAACATTCCTGTTAGAAACTAAAACATTCCTGTCTAGAAACTAAAACATTCCTGTACAACAATAATATCGATATACTACTTGTTTCAGAAACACACTTCACTATAAAAAACTATTTAAAAATACCGTACTACACCATATATGATACCAAGCATCCCTTAGGAGAAGCACACGGAGGGACCGCAGTAATAATAAGAAACGACATCAAACACCATTTACACAGCCAAGTTAGTAAGGAATATATCCAAGCAACCATCGTTACAGTACAGACTAGCAGCAACCATTTACAGTTGTCAGCAGTATACGTACCACCGCGACACAAAATTACATCACAGATGAGGGAAGAGTACCTTCAACATTTAGATGTCACGTATATTGCAGCGAGAGACTACAATTAATTACAAAGCACACATTATGGGGATCAAGAATCACTATACCTCGAGGTACAACCTTAGAAAATACATTAGAAACAATAGCTTCAATATATTATTCACAGGAAGACCGACATACTGACCGACAGACCTGAGCAAAATACCTGACCAACTAGATTTTGCAGTTACAAAGGGACTAAACGCAAATAAACTAAATATAGCACTTGATTTGACTTGATCAATGGAAAAATCTTAGAAAACCTTCCCCCAAAGGCAATAAAACTAACAACGAAAACATCCAACGCAATTCTAAGAATATAGTACTTTCCTGCACTATGGAAAATAGCACAGATCGCAATGTTCTCACGTGTTACGCCACGAGGCTTACCACAGGCTATATTTCTAACCGTCGCTTGCGGCCTTACAGTGTCGCAGACAGATCGTCTTATCTGCCCGACGGAAAATATACAATGTATCGACGAGCGTGTGGCATTAATCTCATCTCAACCATAAGATATCGACTCGAGTTTCGGACTCCTTTGGATACATCACCACCTTATCATCATAGCCTACACCAAGGCTGTGACGCGCCTTAGTCCACACCATAGATAAGACATCGACCCCCGATCTTCGGACACTTTTCACATCATAACCTACGTCGAGCCCCCTCAACATCCTCAAACCAACAACGTATATAAACCGAGACTTCACCCAGCTCGGACGTTTCTTGTTCTAGTTGCTGTTCTCATACCAACCCCTTTTCTCCGGTTCAGTGTTATTCTTGTAAGTGTTAAAATTTATAGTAAAGTTTTATAAAGGAAACTTAGCAGTTGGGGTTACGACTCAGCCTTCTTACTGCAATCCAAGTATCAACTTTACATGACAAGCGCATAGTTGTCACCAAGCAGCGAGTTCTAGAAACGTCGATTTCGGTCCGTTATTTCATACACATAAAGAAGGTGGCAGACATGAGCATAGGCGCGAATGGTGGCGTGATCCGAGCGTGTTGGGATCGTCTCCCAGAGAAGACAACGAAAAGGATCGAAGGGCAATTAGCCCCTTCTGAAGAGTCAAACGTTATACATCGAGAGGTCTGACGATCAAAATTAAAGTCGCATAGTCTAACGAACTCATTGAGAGATATAAAATTAAAGTCGCTTAGTCTAACGAACTCATTGAGATATATCGTAAAGTCATATCTTTATTTTAAAGTTTATTTATGTTTAAAGATATTCTGTAACATATTAACTGTATTCATCGCTAAATAATTTGTAACGTTTTTATTATTACATTCATTATTGTTAAATATACAAGCTATATTAACCTGTTAATACAGCGTTAAATTTATTGAACCACCTTTGTTATCTTAATCGAAACAGGGGAACGACTATTTCGCGGCGTCAATTAACCGAATCGTAGCGAGAATTTACGCCTTTCGCTGACGCGTTTTCCTAGCGACTGCGTCTCTTCGCGAACGGTCGTAACACATACATTAAAGGAAGAGGTTTGAAACAGGCGGATTTTTCGGCTACATTTTTATACTATAATATAAATATACGTAACAATAAGCATAGTTAATAACTATATCAAAACGATATATATAAACAATATGTACATACGTACATCGCGGAAAGTATGCTCACATCCTACAACGTGACCTGTTTGATGAGAGATTCGGAGGTAAACGAAAGGCTCGTCCTTCCGAATCGGTTCTTTCTTGTTATTATTCTTTTCTTCTATCTACCAATCAGTCGAAACTCGTGCTTTGTAAGCAACAGTGGTGTAACCGATATCATAACGTTTCATATCATATACAAAAGTATTAACCTATTTATGTCGAAAAGCTGTTAGTTTAGATTATATCTTAAGTTTAATTTGTCGTATGAAAGATAAGCATAGGACACGAAGCGGTGTTGTGTTTATGTTAAAACAAACGAAAGACAAGGACAACGTAAACACAAGAGTACTGTTTCGCGCCCTTACCTATTTTTCATACGACGAATTCAAGTTAAGATATCTGGTGAACTAACAGTTCCTTTTAATTTTTTCATAAGAAATACGAAGATAGATCGATGAATTATTATGAACGAATTATATTAAAAAATATATGGTTCCATTTGCAAAAATGAAGTTGAAATGAGACTTTACTACTGGATCTATAAAAAAGTAATTTGCACCGTATGTGATGTCTTCTTTCGAACTAAACAATTTTTGTTAAAACTATTTTTGATGGCATCAATATTACGTGAGATATTCTACCGCTTATTGTTTCACCATTGGTTAAATATTGAGACTAGGTTTCTATGTATAATAAATTTCTATGTGTAATAAAATATCAACACATAGAGCACGTAGAAAAATAGAGTTTTAGACGATTTTGTAGATATCAGATATCGGTATATTATTTAAATCATGTCCATATCTAATTGTAATGACTTGCAACAGAATCTGAGAACTGAGATTTGTATTTTTCATTCATAATTTTTGGTTAATAAATAGAAAAGGTAACGAATGAATATACTGTATCACTGTTTCGAAACAACGCATTTTGCGATTAAAATGCAGACATTATAGCAAATAATACAGTAATAGTAGATAATAAAAAAGAAGTAGGGAAAAAACTTACCTTAACAACATGGAAACGAATTTATGAAGAATTGTGTTACTGGAATAAGCTTCTTTGTGTATCACGAAGTGCAGCAGGGAAGGATTCTTAAACAAATTTCGTAAAAAATTACTATCTGTCAGATAAATATAATACGAGATTCGAAAAATAATCAATATTTACAAAAACATAATTATTTTATAAGAACATAATATTCAATTATAGAAATAATTATGCGTTAAGTTCTGTAATTAGTAACCATTATCAATGACCGACTTTATTCTTGGTTCTCAATAAGCATTACTTTTGATGAAAACATTTTTTAGCGGAAGAAAATAAAATAGGAAGAACGACCTAACTTTTATATAAAAAAATATAATAAATACGTTTAATTAAAACTAAAACATAAATATGTATATCATCACTCTTACGTTAATATAAATGAAAAATATAATAAAAATAAGAAAAAAGAAAAATAAATAAGAAAACTGTGTTGGTTTCTACGACTTACTTCCACATGTGGAATAGTCTATTTGGTTGCCATATGACCCATCCTAGGGACAGAACAAAGTTATTAGATTAAACTAATCCACAGAAAGTTTTTAATTCATAAAATTTACAGGTATAAAGTGTTTATCCCGAATAAATCCTTTTTTAGAAAATTGCAAGTCAACTTTCGAATAACCAGATTTTATATTTTATCTAGCAACTAGCACATCTTATTGCACAAACACTTGCTAAACACAAAAATTGTAACGTTTAAATTTCGTAGCGCGAAATATTTACCTCCACACTCCCGCGTTTCGAATATGAAAGACTGTTGAACAATACCGTCCCTAATAAAGGCAGATTCGTACTGCTTGTTCATTGTCTACGCTTCTGGACTGTAAGCGAATCCTGTACGCTGCGCAAATGTCTCTGCGCCGATTATATAAGATTGTCCGAAAAGTGTCTTTCCTTTACAGTCACGTCTTTTACAACAACGCATTTTTATACAAACATAAAACCTAATGCCACAAACGTTGTGATCTTTATGGTGATAAAACAAAATGGATCGTACATAATTCGATAAAATAATATAAAACGAAAGATGTTGTGCATCCATTATTTCCTTATAAAACGAAACAAATTTTTCGGAAGACCTAATATTTCTATATTACTACATATAACGACAATAACGACTTTACATTTCGAAAATTGTCACTATTACGCGGCTGATTTTTATATAGATGTTATCTATCAAAGTGGATAAAATATGTAAATGCAAAATATATTCAAACTATGTAATAATTGTACAATATTTTACAGAAAATAGTTAATTTAATGATTGTTCTCCCGTGAAGCGTAAGTAATGCTAGAGATATTTGGCAAAAAATGGAGGCTATATCTGCAATCGCCACTGAAAATTGTGTAACTGCTACACACATACGTAAGTATAATACATAGCATAAACCGCTACAATGCTTATAGCTATATCGAAGAAGATACTCTATACGTAACTATTCTCTAATTTCCACATGACCAAACTATGACCCTTACAGTGTACAGGGAACAGTGTATATAAAGCTGTATTATACATGTACGATGTATATATACATATTTTGCTCACTGTCAACAATATACAAGAAGGGTACTTTTACGTATCCACACGACAATTTTTTAAAAGCAATTTTTGTATCTCAATACTTCAGATACTGGAGGTAATACCAGAATTCTACGAGATATTTTGTTGTACGTAACGAATATAGCAGGGACAGATTTAGCAAACAAGAAAAAATGTTTATATAAATATACATATACGTGATGTGATCTTACTTTCGAGTTATTTATGGCTTATTCTGCCACTATTCATTTTTATCAGTTGTAGAGTGATACATTGAAATCAATTCATAAGTGAGAATTTTTTATTGCATAAAGACGAATAAAAATTTTCTCTACTCTATAATGTATCGAACATAATTTAGAAAAAAAAACGGACGAATAAATGTTCTTTTAAAAAAAAATTAATGAATAATGAATAAGAATGAGAATAAAATTTTAAATAATAAATTATTTAAGAAGTTGCCGACAGCTTGAATTTCCATGATATGTTGTAGAAATCAACATTTTCAACAACTTCTTCTTTGGCATTTTACCACCGCTCGGTCTTAGTTTCCGAGATATTCGCAAAAACTGTCGGTAACACTACATGTATATCTCTAACAGAGTCGCAAGCATAGCTGACACGTTCGCCGCTTTGTTCCTCGTATTGCTTGGCGATTTGTTTATTTCCATTCATTAGACATTGATGCTTTTGTCTTTGAACTCTACTTTCCAAATCCAACAATAATTAATTACTTAAAACTACGTATTCGAGACTGTAAGAATCATTGTTGATATTGGCTGAAATGTATTTAGGTTGAAATAAGAACAATAAAATATAAAGCTCGATATAAACTGTAATTTAAAAGACAGATTATTCTAAACCTAACTCATACCATTAATAATAATAATAATTTTTATTACGCAGTTCTGCAAGCGGCTATAATTCGAAGGATCCGTGGAATACCCAAGTTCGTCCAGTCTTCTTTTATATGTCGGATGAGCACAGAGATTAAGGTTGTGGGCGTCAAATGAATCTCCACGGGAATTAGCCATTGATGCGGCACAACACAGGTGTAGTTTATTGCAATAATGGGATTGTTACAGTTCTGACAATTAATCACGGCGATTAGGCACTCGCGACACCAGTGACAATGGCCTCAGGTTTGATAACGAATCCGCAGTCAACGGGATGATAGATGAACGTTCTCACAAAATTTAAGTCTGACTCTTTGTTAGCAAAACGTGAAATAATCACTGATCGTAAAGACGTTACCCTTTAGTCGATGAGATCGCGAGAGAGAATGATTTTCCATCCCGATGATGCCATAGAGGAAAACTATATGGAGTGTGTCTAAGGACACGAGATCCACGGATTCGCCGAAGAAAGCCTTCATTCGGAAGGTGAGGGAAATTGACGTTGCTGCTAATTGGTCAATCTCCATATCGGTGGTTAGAGAAAGATGTTAGCCGCCATCGAGGGGAAGTTGTTAGTGGGAGACGTCGTTCGTTGAAAAAGATAGATCTCCCCTATCTTCCCGTAATTGGGACAAAGACTGTTGTTTGTCTGTTTGAAGAACTCTAGTCAACTAAATCTTAAGATTTATAACGGCCCTCGGTCTAGCTGATCACGTACTGTGGAGACGCGTCGGCATCTGGTAACCATCATACCCAAAGAATAGAATTTGCGTGTGGCGAGCCACGGGACAGAAGCCATTGGAATGTTTACTGTCGCGTGCCGCTATAAATATTTCTTTTAAGGAGAGCTATATAATTACTCCATACTTTTGTTAGACAAAGCGTTCATCCCGTGACCGCGGCTATGTTCGGCGATTGATTGTCGCCTAGAGCCCAAGTTCATTATCACAAATCTCGAACAATTACAATCGGACTGGGTGATTACAATTGTTTAATTACAGCTATGGTAGATTCTAGATTACAATGTTACGGGATTTTCCCAAAATTCCAAATGGAAGGCTCCGGTGTTCTTTCATCTCCGACATATATATTGGATGTAAATGGAAGATGACAATTAGGTTCACATTAGCTTTCTAAATTCGGCCACCGCAAAGTAGTTGACAAACAATACGAACATATACGGTGCTACAGCACACAGTTATATGTATCATTCACCGTAGTGATGGTACCGAAAGATTTTTGCAAAGATCTTGCAAAGCAAGGCCGAGTAATGGTAACATGCAAAGGAAGAAGTTGTTCAAAACGTCGATTTCTACGACATAGTGAAAAATCACCGAAACCCACGCTGCCAGAAGTTTTCTATATAATAATCAAATTTTATCCGTTATTCCTTATTCGACAGACTACCGATTTTCGGATCCTAATGTACAGAGCATCCCAATTTAACCTATAAATGCGAATTGCTCGTAAACTGCCTGCCGTGTAAGTAATATGTTGAGACAGGAATTTAATGGTTTCGCGAGTGTAATTAGTCTTTCCGTAAATAAACGTATGGAGGTCACATTTCCTATAAAAAATGAATATCCTATACATGTAAATTCTATAGAATTTAGAACACCAGCCGACGGTTTAACTTTTCCTGTGTTTACTGCAAGTCGGTAGAACGATATAAATAGAGGAGGACGGGTACTTGGGGGGGGGGGGGGGAAAA